GGGCGGGGCGGGGGTCCCGGGCGGGGCGGGCCTGGCCGGCGGAGGGGGCCCGGCCCCAAGGGGGGTGACAGGAGAGGTTGTACTTGGAGGAGTTTAGCGTGCCTCATTCCTTTGTGGAGTCCGCTTTCACTCGCAGCTCGCGACTGGAGTGTGGGGCTCCAAACGCTGCCACGGTGGTAGCCGCCCCTAGACGGCTTGCCCTCGGGAGAGAGTGCTTTGTGCAGGTGCACCTGTCTGAACAGCAGCCCAGCCCGCAGGCGTATTGACCGCGGGGAACCCTTGCACAATTGCACTCGCTCCCTTTCACATCAGCGCTGGCCCAGGTGCACTCTTGGCCTCGTGGCCTCACAGGTGAGGCAGGTGCTCCTGGAGGGAAGCCTGCCCAGGGCCCCCACTGCACTGCTCTGACCAGCCTGACCTGGTGTTCCTTCTGAAGGACCCAGGCTGGGAATGAACCCTGGAGGACGTCATCAGGACCCCTGATGGGTCCGGACAAGGTGGGGCGTGGGTGGGGCCCTGGCCCACAGGGGGTCAGAATGTTATTTGGAAGTTGCTGTTCTGTGGCTGTCAGAAGTCTTAGAGTCCTAGACCCAAGTGTGGCTTGCTCTCAGGTGAAGGGGGGGTTGTGTGGCAGGTCCCAGGTGTCCCCCTCATGGCACCCTGCACCTCCAGGTTTCCGCCAGATCGCCCTGAACAAGGTGGCCGTGCTGCTACTGGCCGGGGGGCAGGGCACTCGCCTGGGCGTGACCTACCCCAAAGGCATGTACCAGGTGGGGCTGCCCAGCCAGAAGACCCTGTATCAGCTGCAGGCGGAACGGATTCAGCGGGTGGAGCAGCTTGCTGGCCAGCGCCATGGGACCCGCTGCACCATCCCCTGGTGCGCCTTCTCTGCATTACTTTGTCCCCAGAATGACCCCCTGCCCCTGTAGCACCAACCCTGTCCCACACCCAGACCCGGACTCCAGGGCCAGCCCCTGTCGCACCCTGGCCTGCTCAGCTTTGCCTCCCCTTGAAGGTACATCATGACGAGTGAGTTCACGCTGGGGCCCACGGCCAAGTTCTTCAAGGAGCATGACTTCTTCCACCTGGACCCCAACAACGTGATCATGTTTGAGCAGCGCATGCTACCTGCTGTGACCTTTGATGGCAGGGCCATCCTGGAGCAGAAAGACAAGGTTGCCATGGCCCCAGGTATGTCCCACCCCTGAGCCAGGGAAGGACTGCCTGGCCTAGAACAAGGAGCTAATTAGAGGTCGGGAGGACTGTGGCAGAGGCCAGAATCGTGTGCCTGAAGGCTGTGTGGTCCCGGGTGAGTGGCCTCTCCTCTCTGGGCCGTGGTTCCCATCTGTCACATGAAACAACCATAGGGCTACTTGGATAGTGACGGAGAGCCGCCTCAGGTACAAGGTCCAGCCCCAGGGGCCTCCCCTGCCTCCAGCATGCCCGGGACTAGATGGCTGAAGCCCTGCGGCAGCCCTCCAAAGAGTGGTCCCCCCTCCCCCTGCAGATGGCAACGGGGGGCTGTACTGTGCACTGTCAGACCACCAGATTCTAGAGGACATGGGGCGTCGGGGAGTGGAGTTCGTGCACGTGTACTGTGTGGACAACATCCTCGTGCGGCTGGCTGACCCCGTCTTCATCGGCTTTTGCGTGCTTCGAGGCGCAGACTGTGGGGCCAAGGTGAGCCCGCCCTGCCGGCCTTGCCCCGCCCCCTCCGCCCCGCCCCCGTCCATCTGGCCCCGCCCCAGCCAGCCTTCCCAGCCCGGGCCTTGGCTGCAGGTGGTGGAAAAGGCGTACCCCGAGGAGCCCGTGGGTGTGGTGTGCCAGGTGGACGGGGTCCCCCAGGTGGTGGAGTACAGTGAGATCAGCCCCGAGACTGCGCAGCTTCGTGGGCCCGATGGGAGCCTGCTCTACAGCCTGGGCAACATCTGCAACCACTTCTTCACCCGAGACTTCCTCCAGATGGTCAGCAGGTGTGCTCCGCAGGTGGCCGCAGGTGCTGGCAAGAGTGGCCTGCAGCCTGCACTGACCGGGGCCAGCTGGCCCACAGTGACCTGAGCCAAGTGGGGCTGTGGGTTGGGCTGCAGAAAGGCCCTGCATTTCAACAAGCCAGGGGCCCCAGAGCCCTGGCAGCTGCGGCCGTGAGGCTCTGGGGCCACGTCGGCCTGCTCTTCCCCCCATGCCGCGGCAGTTGCCTGCAGGCACCACCCCTTAGCCTGTGGCTTACCGGCTGCCATTTCATCTGGGCGGGGATGTGGCCACTGGGGTGTCTCTCTCTCTCTCTCTCTCTCTCTCTCGGGCTGGGCGGGGCGCGCAGGGGATGCCTGTGCCCTTCCGGAGACCAGGCTCAGTGCCAGCACTCCTACCAGCTGTCTTGCCTGACTGGGTGTGCAGAGAGGTAGGGATGGTGCTCCCGGCGGCATCCCGTCTGAACGGTCTTTCCTTCTGTTGTCCTCCTGTGTCCCCAGCGAGTTTGAGCCCTTGCTGAAGCCGCATGTGGCTGTGAAGAAGGTCCCATACGTGGATGAGGAGGGAAATCCGGTAAAGCCGATAAAACCAAACGGGATAAAGATGGAGAAGTTTGTGTTTGATGTGTTCCAGTTTGCTAAGTTAGTGGCAGAAGTCATTTATTTTTTCCTTCTTCCCTCTCTCTGTTTTGGTGGTGGGTTCTGAGGCCTCGTTGGGCCGGGAAGTGGAGGCTTGCGGGGGACACAGTGGGAGCGCCCCTTTGCAGTGGGGAGTAGGGGCTGTAGGCAGGCTCAGGGAGGTCAGAGGAAGTAGCCCCTGTGGTGTGAGGCTGGCAGCATCTGGGGTGTGGCTGCAATCTGTGGGGCTTTGTACTCTGGGAGACACCCCTGCCCCTCCTGAGCCCTCCGTCTGTCCCTCCTAAGCCCTCTGTCTGCTCCTGGCCTGGGGTTAGGAGGCTGTTTCCAGGCCAGGTGGCTGGGGGACTCCCAGGGGATGTGGCCCTCACCCTGGGGTCCCAGGATCTGGGCGTTTGGCTGGTGGGAATGGAAGGACTTCAAGCAGCCCCAGGGACCTCAGGGGCAAAGATGCATGCAGTGCCTTTGGGGCCTCCTCCACGGAGGCGACCCCCACTTAGTCATTGGAACCCCGGAACAGCTTCACCTGCCCAGGACCGGGGCCTCTGGGCCAGGACTCCGGGTCACTAGTTCTCTTCCGCACAGGAGCTTCGTGGCCTTTGAGGTGTCCCGGGAGGAGGAGTTCTCTCCGTTGAAGAATGCTGCCTCAGCTGCCAGGGACAACCCCGCCACGACTCGGTGCGCCCTGCTCACGCAGCATTACCGCTGGGCCCTGCAGGCAGGGGCCCACTTCCTGGATGCCTGTGGGGCCCGGCTCCCTGAACCGCCCAGGTGAGTGTGGACCTCAGCATGCCCTCCAAAGGACAAGGGAGTCCGGTTCCAGACCCCGGCCCCAGGGCCTTGCAGGCTGTGCTGCCGTCTGAGCTGCGGCGGGGGCTCGAGCTCCACACCATGCTGAGTGCAGGTGGCCCGGTGCCCTGCCCGGCCATACAGCGACTGCCTGCAGCCTGGGGCCCAGCCCCTCGAGGTCAGCTCAGGGCCCGGGGCGAGCTGGGTGGCTGCCACCCTTGCTGACTCACTCATAAGCTTTGAAGCCAAGACCTAGGCGTGACATTTGGAAGATAGCAAGGCAGGTCCCTCTTTAGGGCTGGCAAAGGAAAGGACGTGAGGTTTCTGTGTCCTCAGGCGTCCGCAGCCACCACCTAATCTGGCAGCCCAGGTGCTGTGTGGGGGCCTGCGGGCTGAGGGGTGTTTTCCTGCCCAAATAAGAGCCTGTCACTTGGGCAGGGGCAGTGTGCTGACGGCTCTGAGTGTGCAGAGGCGGGGGTATAGCTGAGTGAAGAACGTGGGGAGCAGGGTTGGGCAAGCACAGCGCAGGACATGCGCCCAGGACCATGTGCTGACACACGGGTTCCCACAGCCTGCCCGGCAGCAGAGAGCCCCCCGCCATCTGTGAGATCTCGCCTTTGGTGTCCTACTCTGGAGAGGTGAGCGCCCACTGGCCCACATGGGCTTTCTGGGGTAGGGCATGCAGGATCGGGGGCGGGGGCTGGGGAGAAGTGGGTGCTGGGGTAGAAAGTCAGAGATCTGACTCAGTTTACCTAAGGGGAAATAGTTTCGTAAGTTACAGAGGATCTTCCGGGACATGGAGTGGGTGACAAATCAAGAGGCCCTCATAGGTCTTGGAGGGGCCAGGAGGATGTCAGGTGCGGTCAGTTTGGGGTTCTGGCCAGGAAGACTTTATGGGAGCCTTGCTGAGGGAGGAATGCTGGCCCCAACCCTCTAAGAAGATCTGGCCTGAGCTTACCCAAAGGTCTCATAAGGGCCTGGGTCTAGAAGTGGCATCCAACCCTTGCTGCTGGAAGCCTCTCTGGCCCTACCTCACCCTGGTTCGAGGTGAATTTGTACCCCCTTAAGGACTGAGAGGTGAATATGAGGCCATGATGACTTTCTTGTTTCCAGGGTCTGGAGGAATACCTGCGAGGCCGGGAGTTCCGGTCCCCACTCATCCTGGATGAGAACCAGGCCAGGGCTCTGCAGCCCTGACTCACTCCCAGAGCTGCCAACCCCGGGGGCCTGAGGGGCAGGGACACGGGTACCTCCACCGGGGTGGGGCCCCTCCCATCACCGGTACCGTGGACAGAAATGACCCCAGGCGGGCTGGGGACCAACAAGGGCTCTTTGTCTGCGCTCCAGGCTGTGGGGTGTGGGCGGGAGGCAGAGGTGTGGCGTCCTCGCTCAGAACAGAGGCCCCCCGGAGGACCGATGGCACGTCCAGCCCTACACGCACACCCGCTTGCTGAGGAGCGCCAGCCGCTCCAGCTTTCCTGCAGAGGCACAGAAGAGGCAAGGAGAGGGAGGGGGCGGCGTCTCTCCCTCACAGGGCACCGCGTCTGAGGCGCCGCCCCCTCCCTCCCTCTAGCAGCTGAACCGTACCTGCGGTGAGGCTGGGGGAGGGTTCGCAGCCCAGCCCCCCAACTTCCCACCACCCCCAACCCACACGGAGCCTGCACACCTAAAGCTGGATCCTCTCAATTTCCCTCGGACGCCCCGGCTGCTCGGCCCCGTCTACGGTTGGTTCGGGCTGCTGAATTGTACGTGCTTCCGCCAAGAACCAGCGGGACCAACGCCAGTGGCCTCACATGGTGGTTCAAGCTGAAATATGACCAGCCAGGGAGCTCCAGCCCTCGACCAGCTTGCCAGCAGCTTCCGACAGGTCTCGGTGCTCACGTCCTCCCGCGCTCTCTGGAGCCACAGCCCCACCTATGGGTCCACAAGCCCTGCACTGCACCCCCGCACCCTGACAGAGGCTGGGGGAAACCCGCAGGCCCAGGCCCTGAGCCCCTGCCTGGCCTTGCTGCGCCGGGCCCCCGTGCCTTCTTTCCCCTCCGGAAAGCAACACAGGGGCGCCAACCTCCCCACTGACGTGGACAGCGGCATGAATTGCAGCCTGCTGCCAAACCCGGCCACCTGCCCCCACCCCCTCCACGGCAGCCCACACCCCCGTGCAAGCTGTGCTCTCCCCAGGGGGAGCACGTTCCCTGGACAGCGGGTTCACATGCAGCTGATTCCCCCAGCAGCTTGCAGGGGGCGGTAGACCTGTCCATGCACCCTGACCTGGGCAAGAGGGCAGGGGCAGGGGCAGGGCCCCGCCCAAAGCCCAGAGGAAGACTTCGCTCCCACCCAGGTCCTGCCCGCCCTTTGCAAACCTCAGAGTTGCACCGTGTGCCTTAGGACCCTTCTCCCAGCTGCTCCACAGGCAAGCAGAGGGCCCGGGACAGAGGAGGGTCGGCCAAGGTGGAGGTCCGGGTCCGGGGTCCTGCCCACAGCTGAGCAACCCTGCAACCTCTTTTCTACACTAGGTGGAAAAGACTATGAAGCAGCTTGCTTTGAAGGGCACGGTTTATTTGAAAGTAATTACACCTTTACAGCGAGTTTCAAACATAGCACAGAGGGGTCCCCGGGGCCCTTCACCGTGTCCCGAGGGACTGGCAGCTTCCAAGATCGTGGGGCGCCACCAAACCAGGAACGCCGGGAGGGCTCTGAAGTGCTCTCTCACAGGTGTGCGTTCCCGTGCCTCCTGGGCACTCGAGGCAGCATGGGCCCCTCCCCACAACGCTGTCTGTCCCTCAGGCTACCTTTAGAGCCTCTAACCCCAGACCACCGATCACGACACCCCTGGCTTTTGAAAGACTGCCACAAACTCTTTGATTTCCCACAGAATGACAGCGGGGGTGGGGAGGAGGGCGGATTTCCAATAAACTCAAGATGCCGTGATTGACCCCTGGCCTGGCGAGTGCAGTTTCTGACCAGCACACGTCGTGGGAACGACAACCCGGTGTTCCCGGCTCTGTCCCTGCAAGGGAACAGGAGTCCACACCCCGAGCCGCTCCGGCTCTGGGCTGCCCGGGAATCCCCTCGTGCTCCCGCCCAGCTCTTCGCCAGGGTCTCAGAGCGGCCGGAGACAACCCAGTGGGTCAGACACCCGGGGGTGGGCCCAGAACCTGCCCCCCGAGCCAGCGCTCCAGGGGAGGGCTCCTGCACTCTCAGCTTGGGAGCCTGGTGACACCCTCCAGATCCCACCGTCTGCCTGCTAACGGGACGTGCAGGGAAGGAGGCATTCGGGCACGGCTGGCGCCACCAGCGGAGTTGGGTGTGGGGAGACACCGGCGGAGGGGGTCTCTAGAAGGGACGGGGACGGGAGAGCACGAGGCTCCCTCTGGGGCAGGCTCAGACTAGCCCAGGTGCTGAGCAGGACGCACACGCGGAAATGCTGCCGCCAGGACTGCGGGGCGGCGGGCTCACCCAAGGAGCCCGGCCCGCAGAGCGCCGCGCAGGGGCCGAGTTCGAGGTGCGGAGGCGGCAAGCACCGGGCAGGGCCCGGAGCCGGGCAGACCCTCGGCGCTACGGGCCTGCGCCGCCCTTCCGCGCCTTCGCGGAAGGGAACCGCGCGCACCGCTCGCTGCAGCGGTCGTCAGCGCGCCCCGAGGGCCATCGGGCCCCGAGGATGGAG